TGCTTGTAGCTTCACACTTTCAGTGTATTCTCCACAATGTCCTTCCCTTCCTGCATGGCAGGCTGGCGCCTCCACTGGGTGGTTCCAGGGGAACGTGACTTGGCTTCTGTTTATAGATCGGCATCTCCAGCACTTAAAAAGCCCTTTGCAGACACTAATGAAACTCTCCCCCCGCCCCCCTGAGATGGGCATTAGTCCCTTGTTATGCTGAGAGACACTGAAGCGGTGAGGCTACGTGACTTTGCTAGGGCTACAGGGAGTCCGCATCAGCGGTGGGTTAGAACTGAGCTGTGCCTGGCTCTGAGGTCTACGCTCAGTTCATTAGCACACACGCCACGGGGACAAGACAGCTCAGAGTGTGGGGTGGGCAGGTAACTTGTACTCTGTGCAGTAGCAGAGCACGCAACATTGTCCCCCACATCTTCAAGATGCTGCTGGCAGGTCTTTTGAGGTTACTCATGAGCATCAGTGGGTGTTGGGCCAGCTCAGTGACTGGGTCTTGCTCTGTCGGGCCACAGGGAGATCAGGGATTGGTGCCTTTTGAGGTCCCCCAGACCTGATGTGGGGTCTCAGATGGATGCAGTGTCAACATGATTATCCTCTGGGGGGGATGGGAGCTTATTGTGCTGCTCCATAGCACCTCCTTTGGCCAAGCTCAGGGTCAGGCCCATCCAGCTGCCTAGCAAGCTTGGGTGTAAACCACTTGTCAGGGTGTGTCAGATGTCCCCAGCTATGCCCAGTCTCCAGAGGCTGGGAGTCTGTTGCAACTCCCAGTGCCAAAGCCTAGTTCAGGCCCTCAGCTCTGGAGATCCCTGGTTGATCGCTGGTGTCAGCCAAGAGGGCAGCTGCCACATGCAGCCCTGAAGGAGGCAGGTGTCGTGTGTCTGACACTGACATGAGAACTTGGGGTGTCGGTCAGACCTGAAAGCAGGGTGGTTTCATTTCTCATTGGCCAGCCTGGTGGCCCATTCGCTCCTCACCAGCTTAGAGCAAGTCACGCTTGGCAGCCCACCTGTGCAGTGTGAGCGCCTGAGCTCGCTGCAGATTGTCCCCACCGTCCGATGGCAGAATGACGACACCAGCTGCATGTGTTTATCCCCCAGCAGGGAGAAGTGAGAACAGAGCCCTCCATAACAGTCAGGGCCTGTGCCTAGGGCTGGCGTTCTGCTTCCACGTGCCCTGCCCGGCTCACCGTGCACTGCACCATGCAGCATCTGGGCCCCCACCAAGCCTTGAGCCCACTGTGCTCACACTGGCTGTACCACGTGGCTGCAAGGCCCAGTCCCTGGCGACCAAGCCCAGCAAAGCGGACGGGGCCCCATCTGAGCACACCTGCATATTGATCAACCCACTGGCAGGGCTGTGCCTTGGGCTGGCCGCGCGGGCTGCCCCCTTTCAGAAACTGGGACTTGCAGGACCTCAGATGGCTCCTGGACTTGGGTGCAGCTACAGGCACCAGCAGGTGAGTCAGGCATAGGCGCTGACTCCATGGGTGCTTCAGGGCTGGAGCACCCATGGGGAAAAATTAGTGGGTGCTTAGCACCCACCAGCAGCCAGCTCCTCCCCCTCCCAGCACCTCGTGCCCACCTGCTGCCCCGCCGATCAACTCCTCCCCCTCCCTCCCAGTGCCTCCCGCCCGCTGCAATCAGCTGTTCCTTGGCGTGCAGGAGGTGCTGGGGAGTAGGAGGAGCGGGGAGAGGGGGAAGAACTGGGTGGGAAGAGATGGGGCAGGGGAAGGGGTGGAGTGGGGGTGGGGCCTCGCGCGGAGCAGGGGTTGAGCACCCCCGGGGCAAGGAAGCAGCCGGTGCCTGTGGAGTCAGGTGCTACCTCGTGACACGGAGCAGGGGAGGTTCCCCTCATGCTGATGTGTTACTGCCCCTCAGTTCATCTCACCCAGGGCCAGGAGGGCCACGGGCCAGCAGCACGTCAACCGTCCCCTGCTTTCTCATCGCTGGCCGTCTGGTGGGACTCTGAGAACAGCCTGGCCTGGGACAGCGCTCCCCTGGGGCCCTGCCCTGTGCTTTGGGGGAACTGCCCCCTCCCCAGAGAACAGTTCTCAGGGCCCCCCTTTCCCCGACAATGGTGGCTTAGAGTACCTGGTCTACTGTGAAAACGACACAGTGCGTGGCCAAAGGGGATTTAAAGGCACACAAAGCGATGAGCCCAGAGAACGGGCGCGGACAGGCGGGTGTGGGGCATAAAGCTCCAGCTAAACACCTTCCACAAGAGCAGACCCCAGGGTGTGATTCTCTAGATCCCCCTGCTCCACTGACACAGACCCTCCCCTGCTCCTCAGGTGCAACCCCCCCCCCGACACAGACCCTCCCCCGCTCCTCAGGTGCAATCCCCCCTCTGACACAGACCCTCCCCTGCTCCTCAGGTGCAACCCCCCCCCTCCGACACAGACCCTCCCCCGCTCCTCAGGTGCAACCCCCCCCCTCCGACACAGACCCTCCCCCGCTCCTCAGGTGCAACCCCCCGCTCTGACACAGACCCTCCCCCGCTCCTCAGGTGCAACCCCCGCTCTGACACAGACCCTCCCCCGCTCCTCAGGTGCAACCCCCCCCCCGACACAGACCCTCCCCCGCTCCTCAGGTGCAACCCCCCCTCTGACACAGACCCTCCCCTGCTCCTCAGGTGCAACCCCCCCCCCCCCGACACAGACCCTCCCCCGCTCCTCAGGTGCAACCCCCCCCTCCTCTGACACAGACCCTCCCCCGCTCCTCAGGTACAACCCCCCCCTCCTCTGACACAGACCCTCCCCCCTCCTCCTCAGGTGCAACCCCCCCCCTGACACAGACCCTCTCCTGCTCCTCAGGTGCAACCCCCCCCCCTCCTTTGACACATACCCTCCCCCCGCTCCTCAGGTGCAACCCCCCTCTGACACAGACCCTCCCCCGCTCCTCAGGTGCAACCCCCCCTCCTCTGACACAGACCCTCCCCCGCTCCTCAGGTGCAACCCCCCCCTCCTCTGACACAGACCCGCCCCGAGCCACTGGGGAAGACCCCCCCCCCCTCGCTCTAGTGGCGCAGACTCCCCTGCTTCTGCTCCACCGGCACAGCCCCAGCACCAAGGGCAGAAGCACAGTGACCGGCGATCCGTCGTGGAAAGCATGGCACTAGACACTGGCTGCTCTGAGCCCTGACGATGCTGGGGGGAGGTGACATCCTGGGCCAGCCCTCTGCAAACTTCAGTTATTTCTTTGCACAAAATATCAGCATCAGGTGCATCTCCCCAGCCCCCCAACACATTCAGCCAATACTAACTGTCTGTGGCAGTCAGCATCTCTCCCCGTGCACTGTACGCTCCCTTTTCCTTTTCAGGGCACCGGAGATCCTGAACCTGCAGAGAGGTGGCAATTCGTTTCTGCCCCAAGCATTCTCCTGAGTTTGGCTCTGTGTCACTCCAGACAATGTCCCGCTGCCAGTTCTCCCCGACAGACTCCAAGCCGAGAGCAAAGCAAGGCTTTTTGGGGTTCAGGTCGCTGTCTGTGTGCTGTTCCGTATTGGCAGAGCCACGCAGTTCTGGAGATGAGGACCCAGACATTCAGGGACATCCATCCTGCATCTGCTGCACTTGGTAACTACCTCATGCTCCAAACTCTGTCAGCAGAAATAGGAACAAACACCCTCCCCCCATTCCTGCAACCCTGCCCCCATCTTGCACTGGCATGTCGCATGCTGGTGCTGGCTAAAAGAAAGAGCTTTAAGATTTTAAAGAATGTAAAAATGAATACCAGGTCTGCCGCACATGCTGCATCCAATGACCCCAGGGCCCTTCTCAGGGCTGCCCCCCTTAGTTGGACCCCACAGAGAACACTGCTCCTCCAGCTCTGGGGCAGGCAGGTGGACACTGCAGAGTCCCCAAGGACTGGTCATGTAAACAGTCATGAGAAAGGCAAACATCCTATTTTCTGCCACAGGTCTCATCCATGCGGGAGATCCAGCTTCCATATCCTATTGCAATAATTTTGGGACCTCCACCTGCCAAGATAAAAGGGTCGGTTACCCTTCGGCACAGGACTGGAACCAGGGGGTTACTGGAACAGGTTGGGCTTGTTTATTTTTAAATGAATTGAGTGAGCCAGGTGTTGCATAAGTAGCCATGAGGAGTGACTCTCTCTCCAGTGGGCAGGCAGCAGCAGCAGCTCAGGCCTCTGTCCCCTGTCCCAGCTCGAGAGGGTCGAGGGGAGTTCGGTCTCCATGGGCCATTCAGTCTGTGCCTCTCGCTGATGCCAGAAAACCAGCTGCAATATGGGCAACTCAGGTGGGGCCTGCAATTCCCCAAGCCTTTACTGAGAGACAGGGCACCCCATTACCATTCACCTGAGTCACCAGCCTTTACACTTGACACTAGGAAGAGATCTCTGTCCTCACACTGAGCCAGCCAGAGCCTGTGGTGTACCATCTGAGCTCAGACAACAGCACTGGGCTGAGATGGCAAAAAAGACAGATGTTCACCCCACTAACACCTGGGAGGCCTCAGCTGGGTCCCATGGCACATGCCTCTGGGTACTACACTGAGCACATGCCCAGTTATCTGTGGCTGGGTTATTGAGGGAGAAGTTGCAGAAAATCCTCAAGCTCAGAGTGTGGAGACACCCCAGAGACTCAATGCCCGTGGGCCTGGGGAATCTGGGCTCACCCACTGTCGGACGGTGACTCATTGGAGGTTTCAGGCTCTTGAGCTCATCTGAAGCCAAGTCCCCCAGCAACTGGCCATTGACTTAATTTGGCTGCTGGAAAGAATATAGCCAAACTGCTCTGGAGCCTTCAGCCAGTTGCTTTGGGGTTACTGGGCTTTGCCGAGGCAAATGGCGAGAGGATCTCGGGAACTGACTAACGTGCCAGAATTCCGTCCCAGAGGCTGGTTCCGATTGGCTGGCACACGGAGACTCTCCAAAGCAGGTTAAGCCTCCCATATTCAGTACTTGGGTGACATGAACGTGGTGTCCAAATGTGCTTGGACTCAAACAGTGGGGTGGGGGTGGGGAGGGATGGGAGGGAAGGAATCTAAAGCTAGACCTGAAATCTTGGGTCACCCAATGAACCTGGTAATGTTCTGTGGAGATCCCAGCTCCTCGGCCCCTCACTTGCCTTCTTTAGCTGTTTGACATTGCTGGATCGAATGGCCGCCAACAGCTGGTCCCTTGAGTTCTTCTCCTGAGCAGGAAGTGCCTTCTCCACCATCTTCCTCTGGGTGGCTGGAGAGAGAGAATTCCTTATATTTTCATTGATCAGGGGTGGGGCTAGTGGAGGTGGGGGTGGGGGAGGTGCAGCCGGAGGCCCACCCTTCTTAGGAGAACTTTTAGGGGAAGACCATGGGGAAGATTTTGGGGATGACTGTGGTGAAGGCTTGGGCGACCCCTTTAGCAAGCCGCCTGCCTTTGGCACCTCTAGCAGATCCTTCTTCTCGCTACGTTCCTGAACCTGCTTCTGCTCCTGCAGGCGTTTCTGCCTCTGCTTGTCCATGTTCCTACTCAGCAGGTTTGTGACTGTCATGCGGGGACCTGCCAGTTCAAAATGATAGCCCAGCTTCAGGAGGGTGGTGTTCTCCTTCAGCAGCTTGGCTATCTCCATCTCCGTCTTCCCCCCGCAGATGTGTCTCTGGTTATGGAAACGCAGCTCTGTCAGGGTGTTGTTCTGCAGCAGTGCACGGAAGATGGCCAGGATCCCTTTACCTGTGATGTGGTTAGAGTCCAGATTGATGCTAGTTAGTGTCTTGTTTGACTTCAACATAATGGCGATGGCAAATGCCACATGGTCATCAGCATGGGTATTGGCCAGTGAAAACACTTTGACTACGGTGTTAAATTCCAAGGCCTCTGTGAAGCGCACCAGGATTTCACTGGTGATGCAGTCGGAGTTATTGACATTGACTTCCATCATCTCTGGGTCATTATTCTTCACTCTTTCTAAGGGCTCATCAAAGATACTGGAAGCTGCTTCTTCCTCTTCCTTGGTCTGGCTTGGGGGGCTATCCACAGGTTTTGAGGGGCTGTTTTCTGGGATCTGTTTAGGCCCTGTCTCTGGTGACAGAAGAGGCTTTTCCTCAGTGACTCCTTTGGAGTCTGTACGTGATTTCTCCTTACCATCAACCTTTGAGTATTTCTTTAAAGCTGAACACCTTTCTTCTTCTTTACTCTCCTTTTCTCTCTTTTCTTCTCCTTTTCTATTCCTTCCTAGCTCTTTCTTTGGTGCTGCAGTCTTCTCTTCTTCCTTTCTGTCCTTTCCTAGCTCTTTCTTTGGTGCTGCAGTCTTCTCTTCTTCCTTTCTGTCCTTTCCTAGCTCTTTCTTTGGTGCTGCAGTCTTCTCTTCTTCCTTTCTGTCCTTTCCTAGCTCTTTCTTTGGTGCTGCACTCTTCTCGTCTTCCTTTCTGTGCTTTCCTAGCTCTTTCTTTGGTGCTGCACTCTTCTCTTCTTCCTTTCTGTCCTTTCCTAGCTCTTTCTTTGGTGCTGCAGTCTTCTCTTCTTCCTTTCTGTCCTTTCCTATGAGTTTTTTGTCCATGGCCTTGTCTTTGTCCTTGGGGGCCTTTTCTCCTTTGGGTTTCTCATTGCATTTACTCTCTAGTTCTTCTTTCTCTTTGTAACTTGTTCTCTGAGCACATTCTCCTTTGTTACGTTCTTTTCCCAGATCAAAGTCTCGTTTCCTGACAAGGTCTTGGGAACGAGCTTCCTTGCCCTTTCCTTCCAGATTCCTGGGGTCTTTCTTCCTCTCTGCTGGCATCCCTTCCTAATGAGAAAGAAAATTAGAGGAAGAAACAACAAACTATTAGATACAACTCTGTGACATTATCTGATTAAAATATAACCATATAGATCATTGTTGCGACCACTGTTATATATTTGCAGCAAATATTGTACAAAGGTTGTCGAGTGAGGTGTCTATGAAAAGGTTATGATTTGCTGGTTATGATTATTCTATCTGTATGCATGTATCATTTTTGTGCATGAAGTAATAAGTATTGACTCTATACCTGGATTTCAAATGTTTGTTCCTGGGGGAACACCCACAAAGTAATTAGTCAGCACATCCTGGCGGGACTATTCAAATGGAGTGGCCCATTGAGAGAACATTGAACTAACAATGGACCCTGGGAGATGCCCTCTGCACTGAATGGAATGTCCTGCTGTGACTAGGTGACATGCCTGGACATGGGACTTGCCCAGGTGACTGCAAACGCCATCTTGCTGCTGTGATTTTCCACAGTAAGAACAATGGGATGCCCTCCACATGGCAAAAGCTATAAAAGGCCCTGGAAACACCTCCATTGGGTCTTCAATCCTGCATCTTACATCTGGAGGAGCTTCGCTACAAATTGAAGCTCTGAACAATGGACTGAATGACCGGTCCAAGCTGTGGATGTACTCCTGAAACTTGATATGAACCTGCAGTTTATTCCATCACTGCTACAAGCCTGAGCCAAGAACTTTGCCATTACTGTATGTAATTGATTCCATTTAACCAGTTTTAACTCTCACCTTTCTTTCTTTCTTTTTATAAATAAACCTTTAGATTTTAGTTAATAAGAATTGGCTGTAGCATGTACTTGGGTAAGGTCTGAAACATTCATTAACCTGGGAGGTGATGTGTCAGATCCTTTGGGATTGGCAAAACTTTTTCTTTTATACGATGAAATAAGATTTACAGAAATTTTCATCATATTTGACATGGATAACTGGATGGAGGCCTGAGGCTGGATCATAGAATCATAGACTCGTAGAATATCAGGGTTGGAAGGGACCTCAGGAGGTCATCTAGTCCAACCACCTGCTCAAAGCAGGGCCAATCCCCAACTAAATCATCCCAGCCAGGGCTTTGTCAAGCCTGATCTTAAAAACCTCAAAGGAAGGAGATTCCACCACCTCCCTAGGTAACCCATTCCAGCGCTTCACCACCCTCCTAGTGAAAAAGTTTTTCCTAATATCCAACCTAAACCTGCAACTGCAACTTGAGACCATTACTCCTTGTTCTGTCATCTGCTACCACTGAGAACAGTCTGGATCCATCCTCTTTGGAACCCCCTTTCAGGTAGTTGAAAGCAGCTATCAAATCCCCCCTCATTCTTCTCTTCTGCAGACTAAACAATCCCAGTTCCCTCAGTCTCTCCTTATAAGTCATGTGCTCCAGTCCCCTAATCATTTTTGTTGCCCTCCGCTGGATGCTTTCCATCTTTTTCACATCCTTCTTGTAGTGTGGGGCCCAAAACTGGACCCAGTACTCCAGACGAGGCCTCACCAATGTCAAACAGAGGGGAATGATCACGTCCCTCAATCTGCTGGCAATGCCCCTACTTATACAGCCCAAAATGCCGTTAGCCTTCTTGGCAACAAGGGGACACTGTTGACTCATATCCAGCTTCTCGTCCACTGTAACCCCTAGGTCCTTTTCTACAGAACTGCTGCCGAGCCATTCGGTCCCTAGTCTGTAGCGGTGCATTGGGTTCTTCCGTCCTAAGTGCAGAACTCTGCACTTGTCCTTGTTGAACCTCGTCAGATTTCTTTTGGCCCAATCCTCTAATTTGTCTAGGGCCCTCTGTATACTATCCCTACCCTCCATGGTATCTACCACTCCTCCCAGTTTAGAGTCATCTGCAAACTTGCTGAGGGTGCAATCCGCGCCATCCTACAGATCATAAATGAAGATATTGAACAAAACCGGCCCCAGGACTGACGGTTGTGGCACTCCGCTTGATACCGGCTGCCAACTAGACATGGAGCCATTGATCACTACCTGTTTAGCCCGACGATCTAGCCAGCTTTCTATCCACCTTATAGTCCATTCATCCAGCCCATACTTCTTTAACTTGCGGGCAAGAATACTGTGGGAGACCGAGTCAAAAGCTTTGCTAAAGTCAAGGAATAACATGTCCACTGCCTTCCCCTCATCCACAGAGCCAGTTATCTCATCATAGAAGGCAATTAGATTAGTCAGGCACGACTTGCCCTTGGTGAATCCATGCTGATTGTTCCTGATCACTTTCCTTTCCTCTAAGTGCTTCAAAATTGATCACTTTAAGCAGGCCCGTCCTTACCCATATGCAAAGCATGCAGCTGCATAGGGCACCAGGAAATTTGGGGCACCAGGAAATTTGGGGCACCAAATTTCCTAGTGCCCTGTGCAGCTGCGTGCTGCTCCAGCCCCTGCTCCAGCTTTTCCCCAGGCCCCTGCCTCTGCTCTGCCCCAGCCCTGCCTCTTCCCTGCCCCAGCCTGGCCCCCACTCCCCTGAAGATTGCAGCCAGGCCTGACCCTGCACTCACCAGCAGCGGTAAGTGGAGCAACCTGTCCCCAGCCTGCTCTGCTCCCCTGGCTCCCAGACATGGGGGGCAGGGGGGAACCACTCCCCAGCACTTGCCAGTGGCGTGGCTGGGAGCCAGGGGAGTGGAGCAGGCTGGGGCCGGGTCACTCCACTTCCCGCAGGAAGTGGCCAGCCCCCATCCTCCACGGAGGCCTGGGGCCAGGCCCCCCCTCCCCCCCGTGGAGATCTGGGCCCCACACAGGCCCCCCACCGGGGGAGGCTGCATAGGGCACCAAAATAGCGAGGGATGGCCCTGACTTTAAAGGAACTGTGTTGTTTGGACTTCTGAGTTTCCAGTGAGGTAATAAAGAAGCTGTTTTATGCTGGTTTGGTAAATCTAGGTATTGGAATATCCACCAGCTTTATGGGGATTGTCTGCCCCATTCTTTGCAGTTCACCCTAGTTGAATGACCACAGCTGGCTCCCCACTAGGACCCTGGTCACAAACTCCCGTAACTGTCTAGCAAATATAACAGAGTAACTGGGTAGCATTCTGTTTCTGTTATTTACTATAATGTCAGTGCTGCTTAATGCAAAACAGTTCTAAATTCTGTTGCTATTCATGGTTTTCAAAGGTAGATTAATAACTCTCTGTATTAATCTGGGTCCCCACAGTATACAATACACACCCAAACACACCAATCAGGCATTGTATGATGCATGCAGTGTGTTGGTAGCTCATGAAAAGAACAGAAGACTTGCCAGACGCGATCAGACCCAGGTTCCATCTCGCCCAGTACCCTGTCTTGGACAATGGTCAGCACCAGATGCTTCAGAGAAAGGTGCAGAAAAAACTCCAGTAGCAGATGTGGGATTAATATGCATCCCCCATGACAGTCTTATCCTAATTCCTACTTGTTAGAAATTGACAAAATAAAGGAGTGGCTGAAAGGGGACTCGATTAATAAATATTTAAAGGAGGGTAATATAATTAATTAATAAAAAGAACAGGAGTACTTGTGGCACCTTAGAGACTAAGAAATTTATTTGAGCATAAGTTTTCGTGGGCTACAGCCCACTTCATTGGATGCATAGAATGGAACATACAGTAATTTGAATTAATATGCAAACTAGATACCATTAACTTAGGTTTGAACAGAGACTGGGAATGGCTCGGTCATTACACTAATTGAATCTATTTCCCCACTTTAAGTATCCTCACACCTTCGTGTCAACTGTCCGAAATGGGCCATCTTGATTATCACTTCAAAAATTTTTTTTCCCCTGCTGGTAATAGTTCTTCTTAATTAATTAGCCTCTTACAGTTGGTATGGGTACTTCCACCTTTTCATGTGCTCTGTATGTATAAATATCTTCTTACTGTATGTTCCATTCTTTGCATCTGATGAAGTGGGCTGTAGCCCACGAAAGCTTATGCTCAAATGTTAGTCTCTAAGGTGCCACAAGTACTCTTTGTTGTTTTTGCTGATACAGACTAACACGACTGCTACTCTGAAACCTATAATTAATTAATGGAAGCCACTGGCATGAAGACTGAAGTGCTCAACATCAAGAAAAAAAACAAACTTTTTTTTCTGAACGTACAGGCAATGTACAAGACAGGGAAGCTAGCTCAAGTCACAGCAGAGATGAGACACAACAGTTTACACATCCTGGGTGTCAGTGAGCAGGTGGATGGGATCAGGAAGACTAACAATAGCCTTGGGAGAATTCTGCACGGGATGATGGACAACATCATGAGGATGTTGCTACCCTTTTGAAGAAGGGAGTGGAATGGTCCCTGCTTGATTGGAAGTCCATCAGCAGCAGATTTATGAGAGCCAGACTGAAAGGGAAAAACAATAATATCACCCTGATCCAGAGCTATACTCCAACAAATGACAGTGATGAAGAAGCAAAGGACAAATTCTACCTTAGACTACAGGTGTAGTTAGAGAGAGTACCACGCCACAACCTAACTATCATCATGGGAGACCTGAATGCCAAGGTTGGTAAGGACAACACAAACAATGCCAGAACAATGGGAAGACATGGGTCTGGCAGCGTGAATGAAAACGGAGAGAAACTTGTTGATCTCTGCAATATGATCGACCCAGTCATCGGTGGAACCCTATTTCAACATCGTGAAATTCACAAGATGACATGGTGTTCTCCAAATGGCAGAGATAAGAACCAGATTGACCATATGATGGCAAAAGGCGACGCTTTTGTGAAAGTGAGAAGGGGAGCAGATGTTGGCAGCGACCATCACCTTGTGACAGCCTCCATCAAGCTAAAACTGAGAAGTGTGGGTCCACCAAACAAGGGACATAGACGTTATCACGTTAGCAAGCAAAAGGTCCCTGAAATACAGAAAACCTTCGTTCTGCAGTTAAAGAACAGGTTTCAGGCACTTGCAGACGATGAAGAGGAGGGGAACACAGATGGGGGGATCAACAAGAAGTGGGACAAAGTAATAAAAATCTATAAACAG